GGGCGGAGGAGAGGGTGTGTGGGTGTGTGTGTGTGTGTGTGGGGGGGGGGGGTGTTACCTGCCCCCAGACGTCTGGGGCTCCATAAATCTTCACCATGAAGGCGAGTTCCTGGCCCTGTGCGGGTTTGCCTGGCCGACAAAAGAATCCGGGACCCCGCTAGGTTTGCTGGTTCTGTCGGTATAGTTTTGTCAGGATGTGGGGGTCTCGCTCAAGGCAGCAGAAGAGACAAAGTGAAAGGCCTCATGGGAGGCAGAGATAACATCAACAGTGATCTATCGTTCACTGCGCTCGCACTCTGTGTGCGATGAAGGAAAGAGAAGGAATGTCTACTGAGAGAGAGAAACTGGTCTGATTGAACCTAGAGATCGCAAAGAAATATGTCCACAAGGCATGTATGTACAGCATTTAACCAAAGTGTGGAAAAGAAGAGTGTTATGATCATTGAAAAGGTCGCTGAGCTCAGCAGAGGCCACAGTCTGCTGCCCTTATGTTCCCCCCTCGCTGCATGGCTTTTTTAATACAAAAAGCAAAGTAATTGCCCTTTAACATGCGTTTATGGCACAGTAATTGCATACATAAAAAGAAATACGTATTATAATGGATTTTGTATTTTGCTTTATTTGTTTGATATGTTTTTATTTAGGCATTTTAAATATGCCATAAACCCAAAGTTCTTCTTTGTGTGATCAGTTTTAGAGAGCAAAGAATAAAACACTTTATTGTGTGTGGGTGGTTTGGATTCCAGTAAGTTTGAACAGAATTAGGAATATAATCTATTAAAATACAATCTTGATCAAAGAAAATATGATGGAAAAGCCATTTTTACCTCACCCTTCACTTTCTATACATAGTTTTTACACCCTGTTTGTGAGAGCTGTAAGTGGGCCTGACCAGGGTTAGTATGTTTAGTTTAGTGTGTGTGACTGAGCTGTGTGGACAGCTTGAAGTATGGCAGCGGCAGAGGGGAGTTAGCCGACTGTCCCACCGAGTCCAGCGCTTGCTGTTTGGGTTGGCACCTCATCCAAGAGCCCTCCAATCCAAACACTGGAGGGCTGTTCACAGGTCATTACCCGTGAGATTGACAGGGCAGCCCACCACTCAGAGGGCTGCACATGAAGGACACGTTTGTTAGTGCCAGGAGTTTGTCGCTGAGGGTGATGATCAGGCAGCTGATTGATGGAACTGTAAAAGCATTTCATAAGGTCTAGTGGTTAAAGAGAGCTGATTTTGAGCTCCTTCTACACTGATTATTTTTCTTTCTGACTAGTCATACTTTCTTTTTACAGCAGCATTATCAAGGTACTTTTTGATAATTATTGGCTTTTACTACAGGCCTGTACTAAGGCTAAATTTATGGAGCTCAATAGTACTTTGGTCCTTACGTTTATATGACTCTGGTTATGTAAGCACAGCTCCTGACAGGGTTGAGGTTGACGTAAACAGACTCTGTTAAAGTCTAATTCAGTCTCGTAACATGACTGATTATGACTTATAGGTCTTGATTATGTGTCGTGATATAATTTAACACTATAACCTAAAATCGTAGAATTACATCAGCCTGCTGCCAGACATCTTCTCGCAGCATGGTGAATCTTAGTGGTGAATACAGTACAATAAAGCTTATTTTAGTTGCACAGGGTTTGGTATTGTAGGTGACATGACAATATACAATGCGCTATATCAGAACACCTCAGAGTGTATTATCATGCTTATACTATGGCCACTTTCCACAGGAAATTCTTATCCTTTTATTTTTTGTTTATTTGGAGAGAGAGAGAGAGAGAGAGAGAGGGTCCACGTTACTCTGGGTGCTCTTTGTCTGGAACGAAATGATGCTGTTAAAAGTATTTCAATGCTGCGAGCAGTGCTGAACCATTGGTTCAGATAGGTGTCCATTGATGACTGTTTTTTCATAGCCTACATAGGTAGCTAACCCACATAGGTAGCTAGCCAGCTAACTACCTAGCCAGCTAGCTACCTATGTAGGCTATGAAAATAGTGACAGAAATTCTAAAAAGCGTGGATGAAATAGATTAGGCTGTATATGTTGTAGTAAGTCATATTTTTCTGATCATTGGGTAAAATGTTAACTGCTCCTAGCCAGCTCCAGACATGTCATACGTCACACACATACGTATAACCCATGGAAAGTGCTGTTTTACCAGTGAGAGTTAGCTTAACTGTTAGCAGCAACTGTAAGTATGGTTGCAATGGATACCTACAATTAGTTATTTCTTGCACATTGATATAAAAGGTGGGTAAACTGTTGACTGGAACTATGTTTGAGGTGTCCTGTTACATGAGTTTAATGAACACGTGGCAGGCAGTATTTTCTGTGGCCGTGTTATAAGCAACGATTCCTGCTGCTAAAGAAAAGATACAACACGTTGTTTATATAAATTGTTTGCCAATGCCTTCCGAAACTGTTACAAAGTTTACAAAAATGATTTACATGACTATAAAGGCACAAATAACAGACTTCTGGTAGGAAATTGAATGTGAACAGCAATCGCTTGTGAAAGTTGCACGCTTTGTTGACCCATCTGTCCCGACCTAGCTTTTGTGGTGGTGACACCTTTGTTTTTGCCAGACAACAGTCATAATTCACACAGCCACTAGTGGTCCTTGTTATGTAAACATAAACCGTGTATTCGGGATCTGAATAAACAACGAATGCTGTCATTTTTTTAGTGTCATAACTGTGCATCACCTGATTAGCGTGCACTCATTCTTCTTATTCCTGAGAAAGCGTGAGTTTAAGGCTTGCTGAATGCCAGATGGAAGTGCCGTCCTCAGCGTTTCTCTGCTCGTGCTGGGAATGCGGGCTCTGTGGCATTGGTTCTCACCATTAACGGGGCTTCCCTCCTGAATAGGCCCTGCCAAACTATGCAGTGTCCTGCCGAGTCCAGAGATGAGGACATGGGCTTGCAGTGAAGCCTAGCGGTTCCTACTTCCTATCAATGACAACGAGCATCAATCTTAGCCGCCCTTAGTCCTGGATCCTGCCAAGCACGATTTCAGTGAGGAGAAAAAAAGCAAAAGACTCAGGCTGCTGGAATTAAACAAAGGCTGGATTATCCTCTCAATATGTCTCTACGCAAGACAGTTCTTCTCTGAATCCCTTATGGTTCAGAGCGGAAGAAACGTCATAATTTTTGTGCTTCAGTGCTGTTGTTGCAGTCAGTCTTTTTTTTTTTTTCTACACTCTCTACTCAGACTCGAGCCTTGTCGGTAGACCGTCTGTCATTTGTGTTGAGAGGGCAAATAAAGTTTAAAATAAAGTCCAACCCTGTTGCTTCCATTTCAACTCTATCCAAAATACGCCATTTAACACTGACTGTGACACTTCCACAAACATTCCCTATGACATTTATTCTCTCACACCTGCTGAAATCCTCCAATAACCTTGTAAAATAAGTGAGGTGTGGAGTATTGCTCGGGAGCAGTAGTTTTCTGTCGGAGCTGCTCAGGCTTTCCTGAAATGCATAAGGCATTCCACCTCAGCTTCACTGATTGGAAAAGAGTCTGGACAGATTGTGGTGCTCCTCTGCTCACACTAAACACACACCTTCAGTTGTCAGCAGTGTGTTTGTTCAGGTGCAGCGGACGCTTGACCCGTTGGGGTTTATGGCCGCGTGCCTCGATTGAATTCAAAAGTTTATTAAGCAGCGATAGAGGAGAATTTTGAGATGTGGCTTTTGAATGATTTTCTCAAAATAGAAAGGATTATTCCCACACTGGGCAAAGCTGTTATAGTGTGTGAATGTCCATGCCTGGTTTAATGTGCTAGAATGCTGTTACCATGTGAAAACTTAAATTTTGGTGATTTTCACAGTCCCGGATATTTTAAAGGAAAAGTGTGACATTTTGAGAAGTTAAATGACACTTGGACAGAGTCAGGCTAGCTGTCTTTATGGTTTTATGCCTGCTGGCTGTAGCTTCATATCTACCCTACTGACTGGTGTCGATCTTCTCATCTTAATTCTCCAACAGAAAGCGAATAAGCAAATGTTTGAATCTTCCTTTAAAGGAAAGGAATGAATGCTCTTTGGATAAACTAAAAAATGCTTCGTCATCAAGCTAAAAATAAGGTTGTGTGTATGTGCAGGGACACACACGCACACATTCATGCATGTCATCTGAACGTACTCTCAACGTACCAAATTTGACCACATTTATTCATCCTTAATATATTTTTTTACTTACTTAAGTTTAATTGTTTGACAATTGATCCCTTTATCGCAAATCCCATCACACATCAAGGCTGCCACGTAAAACTTAAACCTCATTTAATAACTTGGGCTGCTTTTATTATACATTTTTATTAACAAATACATTACTATACATAGTCTATATGGGGCTTTGTGGTTCTGCAATATTTGAAGGTTACTGTTCTCCCTTGTACGACTGCAGAAGCCAAAGTGGACGGGAGGTGCCAAAAAGCACAGACCAGACGGGGTGGTCCGGAAAACGGCCAGGAGATGCAGTGAAACTTAACAAGCATGTTCCCTTTGGATGTTAAAATGAAGTGTAACACAGATATTAATGTAGCAAGTATCACAACACAGCAGAGGAATGTAAACTGGAGCACTGGGACACCAGGCTGGACCCTAACCAGCTGCAGCAGAACACCCCCACCATCATAATAGCTTGAAATCCCCCCCAGCCCCCCAAATGGCTAGCTACACTCAAGCTTCAGCTTTTCATCATGGCTGGCCAGGAGTGGGACCAAAATGACTTCTGGGGATGAAAGTGTCTAGTTTCTCATCTGGGGAAGGAGCAGGGTTGCTTTTTGAGATAAATCACTTGTGGTGATGGAAAGGCAGCTGAATGTGCGCAAGGGTTCAAGGCCCGTACTTGAATCTCAGTAAAGTTACATGGCTGCTGTTAGCTCAGTAACATGTTAATGAGCAGGTGAATGAAATGATAACCTCATGAGATTTGGACTCTTTGTCTCCTGTTATGTTGGATTTATGTGCTTGTTTATGTGTGTCTCCAGAGCTGTCCATCCTTTGGGCTGCTCACCAGGTTCACCACAGTTCAGAGTACTACAACCTTACCACTGCCCTCAGACAGTCCCTCACCCAGCAGTTCTCATCATGGGTAAGATATTCTTTATAAAGGATATGTCTGTTTATTTCAACATATGAATATCCCGTAGTATTGTCTGTGTAGCTAAACACTGATAAATCATATTCCTCTATTCTTTGATTGCTGTCCAAAAGCTATTAAAAGCTCATCAATGATATCCTTTATTCCCATGAACACACACACTTTAGTTTACTTTGTGGCAGTCCCACATACACTGTCCTGCTGCCAGAAATACTCTAAACTGCACCAAACTGCAGCTAAAAATAGTTCCCAATAAGTACACAGTTTACTCCTGCTTCAGTAATGTTTGTTATTTAAACTACAGTTCCCACTTGTTTTAGTTGTTTTAATTATTTGCCTTTCTAAGAAAGGAAACGCTTCTCTACCTGTTTTCAAGTTCCTACATCTTTAGTAGGAACCAGTGGGGCTGAGTACCGCAGACAGGGTAAGAAAGTAAGGAAGTATTGAGAGATGGACTAATACATTGTTTTGGTCATTTCTTGGGATTTGTTGACAATAACAAAATAATAATACTGTCAGCCTTTTCCTTAAATGCACTACCAGTGATGTTTTGATGAGTAAGTCCCCATATTGTTCATATCAGGTGTTTTAATAATTTTTAATTTTGAGAATTCACACAGTAATGTGCAGACCAATGTAGAGTCCGATGAAATCCATAAAATATATATACATTTTTAAACTGTTTTTATTTTTCCCCAAATCCAGTGGTTTCTGTTTCAAATTTTTCTGAATTCTGTGTTTTACAATTTAAACATATTTTTATCATCAGAAAGAGTAGGTAATCATGTGGTGGATGAATACAATTTCAAAAACTCATTAAGAAAATATTACAAATGTAATCAATATCAATAAATTGGAAGTATCAAACCAACTGGGCATATACAAATGTTCAAATGTAAGTGTAATTATTAGACAATTGAATAATTGTAACACTGTCCGTGTTTACCGCATCATGGAAATGTGTGTGGTTCCTTACCAGCATGCTCATAGCAGGAGAAGTGATCTAACGGTGCAGGAGATGTTCACAATGCTACTAAGGTTGTATATTACAGTGAAGTTTTTAGGGACTGGAAAGGTCCCATCAGTTGCACATAAAATCAGTGTTTACTTATATTAAGCAATATGTGTAATAAAACGTTTGTGCGAGGACTCTATGAGGTATTTGTCAAATACTGTGCATCCTGAAAGTATTCACAGCGCTTCACTTTTTCAAAATTTTGTTATGTTACGGCCTTATTTCCAAAATGGATGAAAATCATTATTTTCCTCAAAATACCCCATAATGACAACATGAAAAGTTTGTTTGAAAGTATTAACAGCATTTCCCATGATACTCAAAACTGAGCTAAGGGGCGTCCTGTTCCCCCTGATCATCCTTAAGATGTTTCTACAACTTGATTGAGTCCACCTGTGGTAAATGCAGTTGATTGGACATGATTTGGAAAGGCACATACCTGACTATATAAGGTCCCACAGTTAACAGTGCATCTCAGAGCCATGAAGTCCAAGGAATTGTCTGTAGACCTCCGAAACAGGATTGTACTGAGGCACAGATCTGGGGAAGGGTACAGAAAAAATTCTGCAGCATTGAAGGTCCCAATGAGCACAGTGGCCTCCATCATCTGTAAATGGAGGAAGTTTGGAACCACCAGATCTCTTCCAAGAGCCGGCTGCCCAGCCAATCAGTGATCAGGGAGTGTCGATTCCGTGCTGGGCGTTTTTTTTGCAGTCACCGAGATTTGAAAAATGTTCAACTTTGGGTGAAGCACCGTGCTTGTCACTGTCACTTTTTACCCAGCCGTCCAATCACAGTGCGGGAGGGGCGCACCACACGAGCCCGCAAAATGTTATGAACCCACATAATCCCAGAGCAAGTTTTACCTTCAAGTTTTACATTCAGTAAAATTAGGTAGCCTACTTGCAACACATCACTTCCACGGATATTATGTATCATAGCAACCAAAGCATTTCAGATGGGAAAAAAATGCTGTGCCACCAAAGCGCACCCTACTGCTCCTTGCTAAGCTTTATCAGAAGAGCAGCTGGCGTTTTCAGCTGGCAAAAAACGCTTTGGTGACGCAAGTCAGAGAGGTGACCAAGGACCTGATGGTCACTCTGACAGAGCTCCAGTGTGTGGAGTGAGGAGAACCTTCCAGAAGAACAACCATCTCTGCAGCACTCCACCAATCAGACCTGTATGGTAAGAGTGGACAGACGGAATACACTCCTCCGTAAAAGGCACATGACAGCCTGCCTGGAGTTTGCCAAAAGGCACCTGAAGGACTCTCAGACCACGAGAAACAAAATTCTCTGGTCTGATGAAACTAGCTGGCCTGAATGGCAAGCATCATGTCTGTAGGAAAACAGGCACCGCTCATTACCTGGCCAATAGCATCCATGCAGTGAAGCATGGTGGTGGCAGCATCACGCTGTGGGGATGTTTTTCAGTGGCAGGAACTGGGAAACTAGTCAGGATTGAGGGAAAGATGAAAGCAGCAAAGTACAGACACAGTCTTGATGAAAACCTGCTCCAGAGCGCTCTAGACCTCAGACTGGGACGAAGGTTTGTCTTCCGACAGGACAGTGACCCTAAGCACACAGCCAAGATGACAAAGGAGTGGCTACAAGACAACTCTGTGAAAGTCCTTGAGCGGCCCAGCCAGAGCCCAGACTTGAACCTGATGCAACATCTCTGGAGAGATCTGAAAATGGCTGTGCACCAACCATTTGTATTAGACCATAGCATTCTTAGGTGAGCAAAAGTAATGGAACAAATAATCTTGAAGTAAATAACATTTAATATTTGGTGGCATAACCCTTGCTTGCAATAACTGCGACCCATCGACATCACCAAACTGCTGCATTCTTCATTTGTGATGCTATTCCAGGCTTTTACCGCAGCTTCTGTCAGTTCTAGTTTGTTTCGGGGTGTTTCTCCCTTCAGTCTCCTCTTAAGGAGGTGAAATGCGTGCTCTGCTGGGTTATGGTCAGGTGATTGACTTGGCCAGTCTAAAATCTTCCACTTTGTTCCCCTGATGAAGTCCTTTGTTTTGTTGGCAGTGTGCTTTGGCTCATTGTCCTGCTGCATGATAAACTTCCTCCCCATTAGTTTCAATGCATTTATCTGTAAATTGGCAGACAAAATGTTTTTGTCCACTTCTGAATTCATTCTGCTGCTACCATCATCAGTTACATCATCAATAAATATTAATGACCCTGTTCCAGAAGCAGCCATGCAGGCCCAAGCCATGACATTACCTCCACCATGCTTCACAGATGAGCTTGTTAGCTTCGGATCATAAGCGGTTCCTTTTTTTCTCCACACTTTGGCCTTTCCATCACTTTGGTAGAGATTAATCTTGGTCTCATCAGTCCATAAGATTGTGTTCCAGAACTTTTGTGGCTCTTCTCTGTACTTCCTTGCGAATTTCAATCTCCCCTTCCAAATCTTGCTGCTGATGAGTGGTTTGCATCTTGTGGTGTGGCCTCTATATTTCTGCTCTCTGAGTCTTCTTCCAACAGTGGATTGTGATACTTTCACCCCTGCATTGTGGAGGTCGTTGGTGACGTCACTAACTGATTTTTTGGGGGTTTTCTTTACAGCTCTCGCGATATTTCTGTCATCAACTGCTGTTGTTTTCCTTGGCCGACCTGTTCGATATCTGTTGCTCAGGACACCAGTAGTTGCTTTCTTTTTCAGGACATTCCAAATTGTTGTGCTTGCCATGCCCAATGTTTGTCCAATGGCTCTGGTCGATTTTCATTCTTTTCTCAGCTCGATAATGGCTTGCTCCCCTCTCTCCTCAGAGCTGGCCAGCCCCACCCCCTCCCCTCCTCTCTCCATCACAGAGGGGGAAGTCAACTGACTGTTCAGGAGGCAGAAACCCCGCAAAGCACTGTGCTGATCAGCTGTCTCCGGTGTTCACAGACATTTTCAACACCTCACTGGAGACATGCTATTTGCCAGCCTGCTTCAAAGCCTCCACCATCATCCCTGTCCCCAAAAAACCAAGGACCACAGGACTAAGCAACTTCAGACCCGTCGCCCTGACCTCTGTGGTTATGAAGTCCTTTGAGCGCCTTGTGTTGTCCCACCTAAAATCCATCACAGACCCCCTGCAGTGATGCTGTAAACATGGCCCTTCACTAAATCCTCCTGCACCTGGACTCCGGGAACCTATGCCAGGATCCTGTTTGTGGATTTCAGCTCTGCTTTCAATACCTGAACGTGCCCGACTCCACCTGCAGGTGGATCACTGACTTCCTGACGGACAGGAAGCAGTACGTGAAGCTGGCAAAACAACGTCTCTGACTCCAGGACCATCAGCACCGGTTCCCCTCAAGGCTGCGTTCTTTCCTCCCTTCTCTTCTCCCTGGACACCAACAGCTGCACCTCTAGTCACCAGTCTGTCAAGCTCCTGAAGTTTGCGGATGACACCACCCTCATTGGACTCATCTCTGGTGGAGATGTCATTGAGTCAATAATAATCAGTAATACAACTGTCTCTGCACATGTAAACCTAAAATGCAACACCTGGGCAACAAGAAACATCTGTCAGTCACATGTTTTGCTCACTTGAAAAATGAGTGGGTTCAAACAAAGGGTGATATGTCCTGAGTTGTTTAATACCAGGAAATAAAAGCTGAAATTCTGAACTCTTGTCTCATACTCATCTTTTGATCTTAAACCCAAATGTCTTCGGTGAACAACAAAAACAAAGGAAATTGCCTTACCGTTCCAATACTTTTGGAGGGGACTGTATATGTGTCAAGCCTGTAGCATCATTCTCATAAAGACTGCCAAAGGTGCTTCAACAAAATGTTGAGCAACTGTAAATACTTATGTACATGTGCTTTTTTGATTTCAAACAAACTTCTTTCACGTTGTCATTATGGGGTATTGTTTGTAGAATTTTGAGGAAAATGATGAATCCGGAAAAAAATAATGAATGTGGAAAAAGTGAGGCGCTGTGAATACTTTCCGGATGCACTGTATGTACTCTATTAATTTCTGTCATCCTCAGATTTTCTACCTGCCCATGGCTCTGGTTGCACCCCCCACAATCTTTGCAGTTCACCTACAGTTAAACCTTCTCTACCAGTTCTGGATCCACACAGAGGTAAATATTTAAACACAGCTTAGGTATTCTGTAATACGTTAGGCTGTTGTTGTAGTGCTGTAGAAAACACTGAAACACTGTGTTGAGTTTATGTCTCAGTGCAGTCGCTTAGATGTGTTGATGTTGATGAGTGTCAGGTGTGGGCTATAAAAAGAGACAATGTTAAGTCCAATGATGTTTAACTTCACAGTACACTGTAACGTTTGACTGGTGTAGTTAAAATGTCCTGTTGTGAAACACTGACTTTTTACCTGCATATGGAGTGTCAGGAAAAGTTCAAGATAATGATTAACATGATTTTTGGTTTATAGCCCTGCGCATACTATAGAAAAAATGTATTTGTTGATTTGCAGAAAATAATTGAATTAATTTAATCATCAATATATTGTTTTGTTTTGTTTGTTTAGCAAAATAGTAACAGTTACAGCTACTTAAGTGTAATTGCAGCTGTTTAAGCCACCAGGCTGTTTTATGCAGATGAAGAACACGAATACTATTTACAGTATATTACAATGATTAAATATATAAATATGTTGTATAATCAGTCAACATGTAGCACATATAGCTGAGTATGAATTTACTCTTCCATTCACTGTTGCTGTGCACGGTTATGAAGGTAATCTGACTGGAAAAAGGCCTGTAAAGTTATCTTTCCCCCTGTGCCAATACTAATCCGTCTGCTAAGTCGAGCCTTTTTAGACTTGGTGTTGCAGTGGAACCTGTATTCAATAAAAAATAATGAGATTTTATGAAATATTCCAAACAGAAGCATGACCACTCTCTCTGCCTTTAAAGTGACTGGGAGTATCACTTTTACAATCCCCACAATCTTTAGAGGGAATGAATGGATTTGGAGTGCCTTCCATCTTTTAGTGCACTATTAGTGAAAACAGTCGTAATAGTCACAATATTCTGAAGGGATGTAATTTATGCCTCCTTTATAGGCTTTTTTTGATGTCTTGTAATTTATTGGCACGCTATTCACTGCACCACTCCATCTCAGAGCCGGAGTGAAGTGGTGGAGACCCTTTTCATTCAAGATGAAACTCTCACGCTCGGCTGCCAGACGCAGCCATTACATGGAAATAATGAATCACTGAGAAATTCTGTCCAGTCGTGCACATTTCTCCAGACTGAGAGGTCTGTCGTATTGATGCAAAACATCAAAATATCTGAGCGTTGCAGCCAAAAGAGAAACATGAACTGTGTGAAATATGCTGTGTGACCTCTGTAATATTTAATGACTCACTGGTGCATCTGTTTGATATCTAAGAAGAGAAAATGATTCATGTCTTATTCAACAAATGTAGTGAGGATGCATTTAACTGCATGGTTGTTTATGTCAGACTAGATGTGCATGTTTTCTGTATGTGCGTGTTAATGGATTTAACTTTTGTCAGCGAACAATTGAACTAACTTGAAAACAAACATGAATTTGAATATTTAGGAATGTGCAGTATCAAAGTGAGCTCAATTTTTAACCAAAGTAATATAATAAAAAAACATAAACCAAGTGTCCCATAATGCATCTTTCCAAAAATTATCAATGTGCTTTTGGTTTTAGGTCCAGTCACACAGTTGGTCTAACTTTTGTCCAGGACAAGATATGAATGACTTAGTTGATCAACAGGAAAGTAATCATTAACTATTTTCAGACTGTTGATTAATCATTTTTCAAGTCATTTTTTAAGCAAAAATACCCAAAATGTCATGGTTCCTACTGGTCTTATAGTACTCGAGACCGGTCTTCAGACCACTTTTTGAAGGTCTTGGTCTCGTCTCTTACTCGACCGCATTTGTACTCGGTCTTGTCTCGGTCTCGGGATTTTATTTCAAGACCAGTCAAGACCACAACTTTGGGAATAAATTGCTTTTGCATTGTCTGATTTATTTGTTAACATCCTAACTTTGACTGGATGGAAAACGTATTGCTTTGAATGCAACCAATAACCCTAATTAAAAATGTGTTACCATTAACGACTGTCCCCGCGATGGTAAGCATGGATAAGTTGAATAAAGATGCTTACGTTGATTTCAGCTCCTTAGTGTTTGTATGTGGGTGTTTTAATGGGAATGTGGATCTTTCAGATCAATATGAGAAGTACCTATGATCTCGTTTCACATTTTATTGTGTGTCATGTAATGTGGGGAACTGGTCTTGGTCTTGACTCGGTCTCGCCCTCCCTCGGTCTTGGTCTCGACTTGATCTCAGCCCCTAAATGTCTTGGTCTTGTCTCGGTCTTGATAAACTCTGGTCTTGGTCTTGACTTGATCTTGGTTTGGGTGGTCTTGACTGCAACACTAGTTCCTACCTTCCTGACATTTCACTGGGGTGTATTTGGTATATGCTTGCTATAATCGTCATTGTAGCATTATATGACTTTGTCTAGCCTACAGTGCTGTGTGTCTGTAGTTAGCCCACTCAGACAAGTTTTGCTGGGTTTAAATACTTATGGCCCACAGAATAATCATTAGATAAGTGCTTACTTCCATAGATTATGGCTGATGGAGATGATGTGCACACATCTTCATCATATACAGAAAAGACTAAATATTTAATGTCAATTTACTGTATTTTATTATTTTATTTCAGCTGATCAGAGACCTTGGACCTTTGGAGTGGATCTTTAACACCCCAAAACATCACAGAGTTCATCATGGTGAGATTTTTTAATAAAGAAGAGTGACAGTCTTCTTACATTAAACGTTTTTATAAACTTGCCATTCCCGAGATGGTACATCAACATGCCCAGGAAAAGTAATCTCAAACAAATGCTGAAATGCTGATAATTGGTCATGTCTAATTATGGTTATGGTTTAATTTTATGTGGTCAGGTTATTTTTGTGCAGGTCAGGACCCCAGGCCAGGGTCAGAAATATGGGTTTTTCTCTCTTTTTCATGAGAGTTTAAATAATTTCTGTGGTCATTTCACAAAATATTATCTCAACAGGTAGGAACCTTTACTGCATTGACAAGAATTATGGAGGAATTCTGATCATATGGGACAGATTATTTGGTAAGTAATCAGGTTTGCTTCTATTCCTGATGTGTCTTTTTAATACCTCCACTTAGTTGGTGCTATATAAAGTGTTCAGTGTGTAACATGTATGACTCTTAAACCTATTTTAGCAGTCTGTGATGTCAAACAGCTCCTAAATTTTACTGTCTCTTTATACGATAATCTTCTGTGTACCTTCAAAGTATTTAAAGATGTTATTAGTTGTGTTTTTGGTGTTTGTATCGGTATTGGTGTCTGTGATTGCTGCCCTGTCATTATTTTATATTGAATGGAAACCAAAAGTTGTGGTATGACGGATTACAGCAACAAAATGAAGGGAAAGAGTAAATTTAGGTCTGCCTGTTGCCTTCAACTCAGCAATTTTGCACCAAACATCAGTGAGAAGTAACTGATTAAATTTTGAGGTTTACATTACCACATTACCCAGAAATCCCTTAAGCCATTTTTTTCTCTTTGTGGCTGCGCACTGTTTTAAAAAGGTTGATCCCAGAAACTGTGATCCCAACTTTCTCAAAACTGTTCTGTAGCAGATTTTCCATTTTTACTCTGTGGAGTATTCTCTTGGGAGTATTTATCTCAACAAAAGTTGGGCAAATGTATGTGTCCTTATTAGCAAAAGAGTCAGATATTTCCCTCAACAATTGGTGGAAACAGAGCTAAAAATGAATAACTTTCGCAAGGTGGTAACAAACACGACTCTAGGGAAATGCTAATGTTACTCCCTGTCTGCTGGACGTGTAAACAATCAAATGTTGTGTCCAAAAAAGAATGCAAGTTTAAGGTATTTAGTTTAGCAAATAAAAACTGGTTAAGCTGTATTTGTCCTGCTCAGGTACCTTTGCTCCAGAGACAGAGAAAGTGGTCTATGGTCTGGTGTTCCCTATCAATACCTTTGAAATCCTCCATGTTCAGGTTAGTCCTGTCTTCCGTCAATAATTTGGCTGCTGTAAGTTGGCCATCAGTCGAGCAGCTCACCTCCATCTATTTGAGTATAAACACCTTCAGCTGATGAGGTGTGAGCTCATGTTTCCCTTGCTGGCTGAGTGGCCATTTTGTAACCATAACATTATTACTTTACTCTAAACAAACTGCCCAGCTGAGGTGAAGGAGGCCAATAAAATGAAATGCCAGGAAGTGGATGTTATGATTATTTTTGCTGCCCTCACTGTTGGCAGAGCACAGCGTGAGCAATGTCCCGCCCAATGAAAGCAGAAACATTTCTTAGTTAACGTTGATCAGTTAAATGTAGCGTTTGGTTGTATATTGATGTTTGATTTATGGGTTTTTTGTCTCTTTCAGTTGCACTACTATTTGTATTTGTGGAGAAGGTCCAACACCTACAACACTATCAGCCACAAATTGTCAACTTTCTTTAAAGGTCCAAGTTGGAAACCCGGAAAACCTCGACTAGGTGACCACGTGGACAATCCCAAGGTTGGTAAAAAAGAAAAAAAGTAAATTTTTTTCCTCAAAAATGCTCTCAGGCTTCATTACCCATCATTTTGACACTCGGAAAAACAAAGGCCTAAATGACTCAGAGCATTCCTTATTCAAGGATTCGCTTATTCTACAAGTTTTACAAGGAACTGCCACATCAAATAAAAGCTGCAAAGCCTTTGTAGAGGGAACACAATAAGGTCATTTTCACCGTCTTTAAACGCAGTCTGCGGGATTAAAACCGCATGCAGTTGAGGGTAAATGTGCATGTGTGTGTGTACAGAAAGAAATACAGGCTCCACTTGAATGCCCCAGTGGTTAGCTTTGAAATAACGCTGATGGTGTCACGTGTTTAGTTCCCTCATGCTTCACACTTAAAAAAAAAACTCCCCTTTGCCTTTACAATTAAATTGGCCCTTTAAACCCAGTGGGGCGATTCTAAACACGGACAGAGCTGGAGCTTAACTGAAATATCTTGAAAGGCTTTGTGTGGACGGCTGCTCATTGATATCTGCCGGTAAGGGAAATAAAGGAAAGAGAGGGGAGTGAGGAGGAGGCAGAGTTGAACGTGTTTCAGCTCTTTGAGAATAAGCAGAGCAGCTTGTTGGAATACCTACAGGTTTGGGGATGGGATGCGGGGGGAACCCACATGTGCTGGTTTGGTTCGCCGGGATCCTGGGAAACCCCCTGAATGAGACAGGCATCTATGATTGGCCAGTTTTTTTGTACTTCATTTCCAAAGAGGATGCAGTTTCAACAGAATGCCCTCAGGGCTAATTACTTATCGTTAAGAAGCACATGCAGACAAAAACAGGTCAAATGACTCAGGGAATTCTTACGAAAGGACTCATATATTCCTTCGTGTTTGGGGAGAAGCTGCTACACCCAATAAATCCTGGACGACTCTGTAGATGGAAACTAACAAACACATTTTCACCTCTTTTGAAATTCAGCCTGTAAGAGCCTGAAGTAAGAGAAGGCCTTTTTGCAATTAAGAAAATAAAAACTTAAGAGGTAGAAAGGATTTGATAAGGGATAAAGGCCATTTGAAAAGTTTAAAAGAAGTTCTTTTGCTTTATGAGCTTTTTGTTTTTTTGTTTTTTTTAAACCTGTCCTGCCCAGCAGCCTGGTATAGAGTATGATGAGCTGGATACCATATTGTGCCAGACAGATTTTACTTTAACAAGAGAGTATTAATATACTCCTTTGTCTGTTTTATTATTTATTTAATTATGTATTGATTTGTCACTGGGCCGGACAGGGGGCAGACATGGGGGGTGGGGGGGGGGGGGGGGCACAAACAGACAGCACAGAGAAAGGACAACACCTGTAAGAGAAGGGGGAAAGGGGGATGGAGGGTGGGGACAACAGGGAAAAGCTGTGGGAAACACCACTTGCAGAAAGCAACGAAACCTGCAATAGAACAGAGAGGGGGGCTTGGGGAGGAGAAAAACAACAACAAACAAACACAAACAAAAACAAACAAACAAACAATAAAAATAGACAACTAAGAGAAAAATTAAAACATGAAACAGTCACACACACTAAATAAGCAACACAGCACAGCCACGAGAGCTGGATAATAACAATTAATTTAAATAAGTAACTGAAAGAAAAGCATCAGGAATAATTCTACCAGGGACAACCTAAATTTGTTTGTGTCTGTGTGTGAGACTGTGTGTGTGTCTGTGTGCGTGTGGGTGAATGTGTGTGTGTGTGTGTGTGTGTGTGTGTGTGTGTGTACGTGTGTGTGCATAAGCCTGTTAAAGAATGTAGTTGTTAGTGAGAGTGGGACGCCATGACTGTGCCACACCAACCCCAGCAACAGGCAGGCAAGAACCCCAGTAGGCAATAGGGGTGGGAGAAAGAAAAAAAAACAAACAAAAATAAAGGCCATCGCGGTGCTTCTGGCCAGAAGCACCGCGATGCAAACTCGGAAGGCCCCGACCCAACCAACAGACGCCCAAAAAAATAATATTACATAAAAACGACCATCCAAATGCCAATTGACAACGCAATGCCGACGGAACGCAAGAGGCGTAACCCGTGGAAGAGCAGCGCTCTTTGCTTCACGGCCATTATTTTAATGTTCTTTGAACCAAAAAACAACTCCATCATAATAACATTGAATATAAATAAGTTATATATAAGTTATAGTTATGCATTTTAAGTGAAAACAAAAGATGAACAGAGACACTTTTTCATGTCACCACGCAAAGCAGATGAATGATTAATATTGATTAATATTGGCTGATGAATGTTCAGTATTACTTGTTTGTCCTTTACCCTCCACCGCATCAGTCCCTCTTTTTTAACCTTGTTTATCAACCACATCACATGTATGGGGCCTTATAAAGAAACTTTGCGATTGCTAGGCTATGTAGCGATATAGCCTACCAATTCGATGGCGAAAGCCAGCTAATCAATGAGGTCATGCATGTGAGACTCCTTGACAACAACTCATTAACATGCGCACTCTCCACCAACTCGACAGAGCAGTCTATTACAGGTGGTGTACATGTGGTTATTGACAGTGTTGCATGTGAATTACTTAATGTTGGATCGCTCAAGTCTTAATGTGTCAAAATGACAGACCATCATTTAAAAAAATTCAGTCAATGATGGAGAATATTCAGTTAATGCGACCCCTGGTAGTAGCATCAATGCAAACTTGACCAAACACAAGTACAGAGTCCCTATGTATTGTATGATAGAATAATTGTAACAACATCCAGTTTACAACAGGTGTTGTTATAAGCCGGACTTCAGCTCACTTGTTTAAGGATTTAATGGCCATAAAGAATCAATACACACAACACATTATACTTCATATGTATTTACACTGATTAAGGAGTCAGAGTACAAGCTTTTCTGCCATACTGTAAAAATTTTGAGCATGCTACAATAAACACGAACTCAGACCTGAATGAATTATATAGGCAAGCTGTCTGGTGTGAGAATCAGTCCAAAAAGTCACTTGCAAAAAAAAGATAGGGATTGGGGAATTAATTAATTGACAACATTTATTGTAATTGACAATACTGACAACAGGGAAGTAAGATGGCGCCTGTGTTTGGTGAGGCCGCTGCTCCCCTGCATCTCCGGCGATTTTCCTTGTTTTTATTCGTCATTTGTGTTGCCATACCAGCATTAACATCCTACGCCTACATCTCTGCTGCTTGGACTTACGATCAACAAACGCTGTTAAACATCAGAGTTTGTATGGAAAGTCTTCTTCATAACCGGGATAGCTACAAACATTCCTTTCCGCCTCCATTCACATGCCTGTCCCCCTCACCTGAGTTACCAGCTCCTGTTTACGAGCCGGGGCTCTGATCGCCCTAAGAAACGATCGAGGAAAAGGGGATGCAGAGCCGGCGTTCAGGTCCAGCTGCGGCGGCGCTTATCGACGAACACATCTGGGCCACACTGAATGGGCCCGATTTTTGCTGCCTATCTCACTCCACAACACGGGTGGTCACCCTCCACTGCTGCCACACCACCTGTTCTATTGGTCGAGAATCTTTCCTGTCCTGGCGTTATGCTGACGGGAACACATCATCGTTCATTTTGTCCAGTTAAAAGAACTTTGTCCATCTGGATGCTCTTATCATTGGGAAGCCCGACTGGCACGTCGTGGTGGAGGTCTGGCCACTTTGTATTGGGACAGATTCCTATGCAGAACAATTTGTTCTGAAAGTTTCCCCTCTTTTGAGTCACAGACAATTAAAATAGGTTCAAAGGATATGTTTTACTGTGTGGTAGTTTACCGTCCCCCTGGCCCCGCAGGTGCCTTCCTCACGGACTTCACCAACTTCTTATCTACTATAATTAAATTAGAGAAGGTTCTAATAGTTGGATGTTTTTATTTACATGTCGACAATGTCATATGTAACACAGCTGCGGATCTTTTATCCATCACTGATGCTTTTAACTTTATTCAACATGTCTCAGGGCCCACACATATTAAGGGCCACACCATGGACCTAGTTTTCTCACTTGGCCTCCAGATAGAAAATGTCTGTGTGGAGGACGTACATGTGAGTGACTATAGTTGTGTATTATTTCCTCTTAACTTCCCTTTGGACCTGTTGCCCGGAGACCCAGGGCCCAAAGACATAAATCATAAATAAGGATGTCACTGAGAAGTTCACTGCTTTGTTTGAACCCGTTATGTAGTTGGGATGCCAGGATGTGGAAGTTTTTCTCTTTTAACAACCAATGCACAGACATTTTAGATAAAGTGGCACCTGTCAAACCTACCAAGACTGTTCACAAAAAGTATTGCCCCTGGATGAACGAAGCCATACAATGAATGAAGAGAAACTGTCGCAAAGTGGAGCGTCTATGGAAAACATCAAAACTTGTGGTCCATAGTCTACACCTCAAGGACCAAATCGCTTCACTAAATGAGTTGCTGAAGAACACAAGAACCCAGTACTTGGTGATAAATAAGAAAACCCCCAAAATGTTGTTTGACACCATTAACGCTACTGACAGCAACGAGGTTCTGAATTTCTTTGTAAATAGGATTGCAGATGTCAGAGCAAATGTCTCCCAAACTCCTTCCAATCCTGCTCTCAGTGACCCACCCCCCTCTCATTCATTCTTTTAACACAGTGTCCCTGCATGACATCAAATGCCTGCTGGAAAAACCTTCCTCCTGTTCTATGGATGTCCTCCCTACTGTGCTCTTTATAAAAGCTTTTGATTCAGTTGGCCCTAGTATTGTGAACATGCTTAACATCTCACTACAAACTGGCATGGTCCCTATCTCCTTTAAGCATGCAATCATTGAACCAGTACTTAAAAAGTCTAACCTGGACCCATCAGACCCTTAGAACTATAGGCCCATTTCTAAACTCTCGTTCGTGTCAGAAATTCTTGAAAAAATAGTAGCAGTCCAACTGACTACCTTCCTGGAGAACCATGAATTATTTGACAAATTTCAATCTGGGTTCTGCAAAAACACTCTACCGAAGCCTCTTTACTTAAAATCTCCAGCAATATTAAGATGGCCGCTGATTCTGGAAAATGCACAGTCTTGGTCCTATTAGACCTTTCCTCAGCTTTCGATACTATCAATCACAATATCATGCTAAAAAGACTTCACGAGCTGGCAGGCATGTCTGGAACTGTCTTGAAATGGTTTTCATCTTATCTGTCTGGCAGTGTTCTTGCAAACAGGTTCATGTCGGATAAAGCAGTGTTGTCATATGGGGTACCCCAAGGGTCCATCCTGGGACCTATCTTATTTCTCCTGTACATTCTCCCTCTTGGACAAATGATCAGACAGTTCATATCTTACCACCTTTATGCAGATGATATTCAGCTGTACTGCTCATTTAAGGACACAGATCTCCATAAATTATCCGCTGTAGCAAACTGTTTGAGCAAGATCAAGCACTGGCTGAATGAGAACGCTTTGCAACTGAACACAGATAAGACAGAGACATTAATTATTGCACCTGATAGCATTACCGCTTTGATTAAGCAGTATTTGGGTGACCTGGACTCGTTTGTGAAACCGAGCCTTAGGAACCTAGGTGTTGTCTTTGATTCAGCAATGTACCTAGCGCATTACTCCAACCAACTAATTAAAAACTGCTTCTTCCAACTAAGGAACATATCCAAACTAAGATCGCTGGTGTCAAAGTTAGAATTAGAGATGATCATCCATGCCTTCATATCCAGCTGCTAGACTCTTACAAGCAGAAGAGCGCACATTACTCCAGTCCTATCATCCCTTCACTGGCTGCCAGGTCATTTTAGAATTAATTTTAAAATCTTATTCCTTACTTTTAGAGAGCGTTACAAGGTCTAACTCCCTCTTACATCTCTGACCTGTTACAGCAACATACTCCCCCCCCCATAACCTAAGGTCATTAGGCCAGAGGCTGTTAGTAGTTCCCCATACCCACTTTAAGACCAGAGGAGACCGGTCTTTCCAAGCTGCTGCACCCAGGTTGTGGAATGCACTCCCCAGTTCGTTACGCACCTTAAACTGTGTTGTTTCTTTTAAAAAGCAGCTGAAGACTCTGTTTTTCAAACAGCCGTTTAGCTAAACGTTAAGCTTGGTTTTAAAGTTGTCTGTCATATGTCATATGTGTTTCTGGTGGTTAGCTTTTTGTTGTTTTATTGTGAAGCACCTTGTCATTTTATCTATGAAAAGTGCTATATAAATAAATTTTACTTACTTACTTACTAATGTTTTATTTTCCATGTGCAGGTTACCGGAAAGGAAGTGCCTCACAATCCCAGCTGGTCCCTGCCTTTACAAGTTTATGTGGTCATACATTTCCTGCTGGTGCTGCAAACTTATCATGATTTGTTTGAAAACAAGATGGTATGTATTTATCACATTCGGAAAAGTAAATGTCAGCAGAGGCCAAGAACAGATTGTTTTTTTTTTTCTTTCAATCAGACTTTTCCGCTTTGTAGGACTGAAGCAGACCTTCTGGTCGCACACTGACTACTGTTGTGTTTAGGCTACTGTAATCCCTCATATAAAGTATGTGGACAAGGTGGTCCAAGACTCTTAATTTAAGGCTGCATGTTTGTCAGCATTATTTCACCCAATTATGCAGTTTGTTGTGGCTGATCCATGGTCGAGCAGAGTCCTCTATTTAGCCAGCAGGAAAAGACTAGCTCTGTCTAACATCATGACAGAATGACTGATCGGCATTCCCCTTTAGAACAACCTTTGTCTATTATTTTCCACTCGAAGAGCCAAAAGACCCCCTTCCTCCTCCTTGAGAAAAAAAAAGAAACAGGTCTCCTCAGCAGTTATCTTTGGAAGCCTATTTTCCCTAGGCATAGTTTTGGTTAGCCAAAAACTGCTGTCACGCCCAGCCCCTTCAAACTCCCAAATAAAATGGTCTGTCTTTTCGTGATCGCTACCTCCGTGGTGCTCCTTCAGTTGTGGGTCCCCCCCCAAAAAAATACACACACACACACACACACCTCCCCTCCTGGGTCGAGCGTTCCCCTCCCTCTTGCCGAATGAAACACCAGCTGGTGGTCCAACAGTGAACACAAACGCCTTAATTGTCGAGTCAACCATTTCCCTACCCAAATAGCCTTCAGGATGCAGCAATCAGGATTTGGAGGGAAAATAACAAAGTGAGCACTCTGGCCGAACAATAAATCATGTCACTCTTATGTATTTATACCCACATGTTCGCTAGGCGCTTATTTAGTTTGACAATTGATGATACACTGCCCGACAATTTATGGGCTTTGCGTTAATTCGAAGCCATGAAAACATGGTAATTTCAAACAAGTGAAGCCACTCTTCAATTACATCATCAGCCAACGTGTATGTTTTATTATAGGTTTTCTAAACAGTTACTTTTAGAGGCAGACCAAGTCATAAAATCACATTTCAGAACAACTCTCTGAGTTAGTGTTTTTTATGATTACTTGACTACCTGCTTTTTTTAAAAGCAGAACACAGCAACAAAAAAGATTTTGACACCTTATAGGAACTGCAATTATGTGAAATCCCACTTCAGAGGATTCACTTCATGTCCTGTACAGGCACAAAATTACCATATTTATATAGTATATTCATATATTGTATAAGAAAGGTTATTTTTTCCACGTTCTCATAATCATTTCTACCCATCATCAGCAGAAAATGGCACAGAGATGTGACTAGATAATCTGAAATATTCTTTTTCTGAAAATCAATCCCCATATATAGTTTAAATAAAGATTTACATTTATGTGTTGTCAAATTATCAGTAGTATAGTATGTGTGTTATCTTTGTAACTTAGTGTAGTAACATTTCACAACTTATGTTCTGGTGTATTTTCTCAGTGGTAACTGTCCAACAAGCCTTCATGAACTTCATCATAACGGCTGCAATAATGAGCTAAATAATGAGTTAATCTGCTTCGTCTCAGGGGACAACAGAATAACACAATTAGTTTGCTGTCACCAGATGTTAACTTTTGTTTCTGTCCTCCGCTTTTTTATTGCTGTAGTTTGACACTTGATCACATAAAACATTTCCCCTTCCATTTTTTAAAAACGTTAAATGCAAATGTGACTCCACCTGACAACACTGAGGGATTTGTGGAGGATTTTTTCTCAGGCGTAGCGTCTCGGCTGCGTGCCCCTGGGCTTATTAAACACAGATAAGTTCACATAACCTTTGATACCAAAGTAATTCTCCAGTCATTATACCTCTTAATAAAAACAACAATATCTGTAGCCTTTGAACTCTAATGCAATGATCATTCAACTTTAATATGCTTTGACAGTCTGGGGTTCCTTCACCAGAATTCCCTCCGTTTGATTCACGGAAAATATAATCCTATCATCCCTCTATAGTCCCATCTGAGGGCTCAGATAATGTAGTTCTTATGGGGAGCTTATGGATTACGACTCTTGGATAAACATAAATATATACTGTTTTATTACATCCTGTTGATGGTTAGATTTTATGTTTACTATATATGGCCTTCTGGGTCTGTACGGTATGTGAAATTTGGCTGTTTAAAGTCTCTGTATTGAGTGTCGGAGAAATATAAACCTTAGCTGACAGCCCGCTGCATCCTCAGGAGACACCGGGCTTCCAGCTGCTGCCCTCTCAGCCAAGGCCGTAGGTTAGAGAACAAGAATTAGACCATACATCATATTCTGTGTGTTTGTGCAAGTCAGTTTTATGTGTGCGTGTCCCAAATAGTTCAGAAAAGGTCAGTTAGAGTCTGCATGGGATTTCTGCTCCATTGTTGGTTATTTTGGCTCTTTCAGGGGCTATCGGGATTCAAACTGCAGTCTCTTCCACTGTGGTCAAGTTCCCTGTCAAGACCCATCTGGCATGATTAGAGCTTCTATGTAAACTAGGCATGTCAGTGTAAAGTAAGAGGCAGATTGCATTTGCAAGGATATTGTATGTGCCAGTACACTTATTCTGAAGGTCAGACATGTTTTGGTTGGCAATGCCAAGTAAACAGTCGAACAGCCATGTGGTTTATGACTGCTCTCCCAGTAAGGTCTCCTGTGATCGTAACTTAGCCAGCCATGATATTAATTTAAGGTTTAAGTTGTAATGTATTTTTTCCTGACCGCATTTCTCATGGTATGTAAACATGTCTCAATCCTAGATGCTGTCCCAGTTAACCATTCTGGGGATGACTGGCTACATTCTGCTCACTCTCACCTCCCTGGGATTCATTATGGATCAGAGGTACAGTACTGGTATTTATTCATATATTGATTTTACAAGAAGCGTTGGATATTTGATTAAACAGTGAGAAAATGTAGGTAGAGTTCACTAAGAAGATGCAGAGAAGGATCTGGTTATTTATGTCAGTGGTTCTTAAGCTTGGTGTTGAAACTCTACAAGGGGTTACAAGATTAATCTGAAGGGTTGGAAGACAAGAAAGGAGAGAGAAAAAACAACATACTTCTACTGCTAGTGCTGAAATGATTGGTCAATTAGTAAATCAACAACATATTTGGTAATCCATTAATTATTTAAGCAAAAATGTCGAGGCAGAGCTAGTACGGCTAGCACGCCAACAACAGTACTCCACCAGGTTTGAAAAGTTAAACTGGCTGAACATTTGAGATCATTGCAGATTTAAATCTGAGTAAACACAAAGCAAAAGACGACGGCAAATACTCCGGAACTGGTGGCCTGGCAATATTATGGAGTTAAGACATTTATTACTATTTTTCTTACATTTTATTTATTAAACAATTAATGGATTATGAAAATAATGTTAGTTACGGTACACACAAATATGTTTTGACCTTAATCTAAATTGCATTTTATTGTGAAATACAGGATAGTTGCACCTCCTCTTCTAGTTTAGTTAGTTAGTTACTTTGTACCTCTTTAGGCTTCTAAAGATTATTCAGATGAAACTATCTGGAAGAAAAATCACTCTTTGGTTGAACTGCTGACAACATCAATACATATACTAAAAAGGTCAGCACCATTCAGACAGTATTAAGATTCCTGCGGGGAGTTGGGTAATAAATTATTTGTACTATACTTAGTAACTTTGGTTACAGAAGATGGTTTTGTAATAATCCACAATTATTTACCAGATTGATTTTAAAATCCAATTATTTGTACACAGTTGCAAAATGGCTACTAATGAAGGGACTGGTGTCTGTGAGGTGATATTGTTAAAACCATGTGGTCTTCTTTGACCTCCTAATAGACCATGACTCTCCTCACTGACGTCAAGGGTAAAATCTATCTAAAACTCACTCAGCTCTGGAAACTGAAGCCTCTCCCATTAAGAACTCTGTAATTCTTGTAACATCATCACAGCAACATTTCTCCTCGAGCTGAAGGCCAGGCGGTCAGTAAGGTGAAGGGATCATGCTGACATGTCATCAAGCCTCAGTGTTGTGTTGTTGGTTGATGTGTCCTCATGTTCAGGCCAATGGCGGCTGTCTTGGAGATGCTACGCTGTGTCGTCATGGTCACAATGCAAAGGTACAGCTACATGAAACCCCTGCTGCCTTCACTAGCAGTGCCCACAGAGGTAAGATGAACTGTAGTGTGTTACAATGCAATTTAAAGTAACAGTGTCATGTCCTATTTTATTCCATTCATTTTTCTTACTTGTCAAAATCTAGGACATTGCCCACTCGACCAGCGACAGTTCGGTTGGCAATCGGAGGTTGTGTTATGCCAGTAGCAGCTAATGTAGCCTTGATTCACTAGCCTCGATCAGAGATGAGATCTAGGAAGAAGCTCTCTTCTTTCTAACCCCACACCCCAAATAGTTTTCGTTTTTTGTGACGATCATACAATAATATAATGCTATAATGCACTTACGTAACCTACTCAAAGATTCCAACTTCTTTTCGTGTCTGCAGTTGTTAAATTATGTTTGACAACTACCCCCTCACATTGATCAGGTAGATTGTTAAGGTCTTGATGAAGGTTGACGTTTTTGAACCACAAAATCTAGTCTATTCTCTATTTTTTCAAATTTCAAAATGTTGAGTGGTGCTTCTGTCTCAAGGAAACTATCTTTGACTGAGTATAAATACTACAGACTCTGGCCTACAGAGACCACACTTACTAGACAGCAGTCAGGAGTTTAATTTTGTAGTTTTGCCAACTCATGGAATTAATGTTAATAAGCTACAGCACAGTTGTTATTTCAGCTGGGGATATTGATAGCTTAAACAAAAGGCAAAGTTCCTGATGGATTAATAGAGTGCGTATATGAGCACAATGTGATGGCCGTTTTACTACAGGTGGCGCTACAACAACATGATTATTAAAATGGACATAACCTTTTGGTAATGAGTCTCACTTACTTAAATTTCTGCCTTCTACAAAGCCGTTAAATTCTGAAGATTTAGGATTTGGCAAAACAGTCTTACTTTAAGTAGCTGTTTTAGAGCTTTTGATCACATCACATGAACTTCTTGTTCTTTTGAGTTCATTCTTGATAGAAACAGCAGTTAACAAAACCGTCTCACTTCAGGGTACATTAAGTGGCTACACTGGAATTTTTGATCACATCACATACAGGATTTATTATAATTTTTCACTGATGACATTGTGGAAATTGTTTGTTCATTTGGGTTGATGCTGAGTTTGGCAGTATTTTCTCCCTGCCACCCTCCATTAAATTATTGTTGAGCATGAACCAATTTCTGTCCAAAATACAGTATGTGCAACTTCATATTTAACAGATCAAACACAAGAAACACAAGGTCAACACACAACAACACCTAATTAGCCTGCTAGCTGAATGTAGCTCATGTGTATTTTGGGCCAATAACTAAATGTACAACATACTCTGGGGACATATTTAAAAAAAAAACTCTTTCAGGTTTTGGTAAATGTGGAAACTTAATGAGAGAAGTACTGGAAACAGAAGGAATATGAGGAATAATTGTATATAGTGATATGTCATAATCAGATTCACTGATCCCAGGGTACAATATAATATTATGAAATCTTTAAATTATAAAAGTTCTGGGAAAATTCTGATATTAAAACTTGTAGGAACCATGTGTATGAAAATCTTCATATGACTCCTTGACAGCATCATGTTTCCCTGGTATGTGTGTGTGTGTGTAGCCTGTTTGGCTGTGATTGTGTGTGTTGTGTGGTCTGTTTTGTGTGTGAGCTGGGTGTTAAGTCCAGCCCTGCAGCCCTGTGATCTATGAGTCCAGATGCGTTGCCCAATTGACCATAAAATTGGCGTGCCTTTCTGGCTCTGGCAGCCCAACTGTACATGGTGGCTGACCTCTTATTACTTGCTCCCCCTCCCTCTGACTGGCTCTTAGTTTTTTTTCTCCCTCTTTCTGCCCGCCCTCACTGCTTGCCATCTCAGCCAGTGCGAACGAGAGCAGCGCTTCTGGAACCAATTAGTGCCGTCTGCCGCTAACTAGAGCTGGCTGATGAGATTTGCACGTGAGCGCTGAATCGCTGCTTTTATTGTCCTCTGACTCCACATCTGTGCTGCTCAGGTGTTCAAAAGACGGCTCGAGGCTTTCTTACCATTTCTTTTTCTCACCATAAAATGAAATAAAACTGAATGAATTGTAATTTTTAAAGCTGTGTCTAAAATGAAGTGCATAGCCAATCAGCTTTAGAGCAAAAACATCTTGATTTATGCTGCTCACGTTGCACGGCTGTGTCACTTTGACAGCACTGGAAGTTGTGTGCTGCCGTTTGCTTAAGCGAATCATTAGGCCTCATTTCAAGTCGCAGTGCATCAGTTTGAGCTAAATAAATGTCTTGCTTGCAGGTGGGGCTCATTGAAAATCTTCAGAATTTACTTCAAGTGTTTCTTGACATATTTGTGCCATTTTGTCAGAAATACAGCAACGGAAAAAAACATGAAAACCACCCCCAAACTTAAGTTACTTTAATGATATATGGGTCTGACGCTTGAGGTGAACGGCCAGCTCTTTGTTGCAGTGGGGGGGCCTGTTTTGAAGTCGGGCCAATCAATTAACAGTCACTCGAAATGGAGGAGGGGAAATTCGCATTTAATTGTATTCAGGCTCATGCGACTGTACAGTTGGGAAAAGGGGGGGACTACAAAAAAAAACTACAAAAACTAGGTCGGTTTGTGGTCCTTCAAACCCACTGGTGTGATATACTGCACCCTTTAAGCTCACAGTGGTATTTATAGTGGCTCTGGAGATTTCCCTTGTAAAGCTGCAGGCTTGACCTGTAAACCAGGACTGCCTCTCGCTCCCAGCCGCCCACTCGCCCGCCCAAACCCATGTCTGTGCAGCTCGCATGAAGACCTCACTGGTTCGGACGAGACGAGACTGGTAACCGTGCGTGTGTCAATGAGCAGGGCTGGTGGACCAGGGGATTGAATGAGGTTATAGCTCTCTGTGCAAGTAATGTTGCATGTGTGCTCTGTCACTCAATATGAGGATCTGTGTATAGAGGTTTGTCTCAACCCTACTACCAACCTCCACTTGTGTCACCATGGCAAATTGAATGTGCACAAATACAAACTAAGCAATACCAGCAGTCAAAAGATAATCAGTTTATGATTATATAAAACAGTGAAAAGCAGCAAATCATTACATTTGAGAAGCTGGAATCTGCAAATGCTTTGCATTTCTACTTGAAAAATAACTTATTTATTAAAATAAATAATTGTTAATCATTTCAGCTCTAGACAAGATGCCATTGTATGAGGATCTTTATTATGGCAGCCTCTGTAATCTAAAACCCCACTAACATTTTCTACCCTTCTGTATGTGGGGTCTACAAAATAACAGTAACTACAATTACTGAAATCAGTACCTTTCTGACAATGTGTCAACAACATTTAACTTCAAAAACACAGTTTGTTGTGCAGGACTGTTGTCCCTGATTGCATTATAATGTCTGCTGTTATTTGGTCCAACCCCTGTCTATGTGTGTGTCCACATGCACATGTATTTGTGTGTGGTGAGAATCAGGGGGGGCGCTTGTGGAGGACTGTAATGATGTAACACACGGTTGTATTACTGTGTGGCCCCCTGGTTTGCCTGAAGGCACAGGGAAACATGCTGTATATCCCAGCGTAATTAAGCAGCTATTCTCTGAAAACGGCCACTAACTACTGGTGAAGTCACAGTAATTTAAGAGGAGAGCTCATAAAAATACACCTGTCTTTGGTTGAGAAAGCGAGAGCGTCTTCAGGCCTGTTGGCTAGGGTAGAAAACATTTCAGATTTAACTGGATTAAAAGAGAAGGCAGAAAGAAAACTTTTATAGCCATCCTTTTTTTTTCAATTCTTTATGTCAGTTTTCTTATTTTGTAGTTATTAAATAAAGCAACATTTACCCCAAAAGCCTGAAACCCTTTTAACGTTGTCTACTTTGCTTTTACTGAGATGTGTCCTTGTAAATGAGTTCAAGAAGTGGTATATTGGCTCATGCAAGTTTGACACTTGAGAAGCAAATCTAAATCTAGGTAATCCAGCCCAATCCAAAATATATATATATAAAAAAAACCCATCTAATTGTTTTCACACCCCATTAGATTTTCCATCTTTTCATCTCTGTGTTGATAGTATTTCCAATCTCAAAAGATCATTTTCTGTCAAACTTGCAAGGGAAAGATAAATGCTCCATGGCCAGAAGAAGAGGTCAGAACAATATTTTGAAGTTCATGTCAAACACAAAGGACCAGACTTGGCACAAAGTGGCTTTATCTTCACATTATCACCTGACTTGTCTGCAAAAACTGCGAATCCCACTCCCATTTTCCCGCGGACCCACCCATGAGCGGGCAGATAACACAGCGAGTGCTAAAAGGTCGTCGTTATCGGAGAGAGTCATTTCCACCCACCAAAACTCAGGTGCAAGAGGTTAGCTGCCTTTTTTTGAAGCAGGAATGTGTGGTAGCAAGAAGCAGCTCTGAGGTTAACAGGATTGTTTGGAGCAATGGAAACTCAGTAAGCATGACATCATCTAAGAGCTCGCAGGAATGGAAAGGAAAGGAAATCTCCTCCCAGGGAGAAAATGGAGGGATTTGAAAGAGAAATGCTGGGTAGGACTGTTCCATTGGAGTAAACAGCGGGGTGGTCAACCGTACACAGTGTGAAATATTATCACTCAGTGTGCAGGAGATCATGCCCGTCAAAGAGTAACCGCTTGGTTTATGTTGTCAAACCACTTGCCAGGTAAAGTTATGGAAATCTAACAGCAATTGGCCCTTTGGGGGTTCTCTAGCAGTATTTAGTTTGGCTTTTGTGGGGTAAGTGTCTGTTGCCAAAATTGACTTTCTTTTGAATTTGTCTTCCTATTTGTGCTTTAATTCATGGGTGAAACACAACAGCCATCCAGTTTATGATACCGCTTCAGAGCCAACATTTGAACCTGATTGAACTTGACGATAGCTGGTATTTTTTTTCTTACAGTATTATTCCCCGCTCTTTCAAAAAGGAACATTAAGCTGGTTTCACAGAACTGTAATGCCAATTTCCAAAGACGTCTGCTCACAAATTCAAAAACATTACAAATGATAAAAGACTTTCATAAAGTTGAAATATAAATAAGTCAA